CCCCCCCCCCCCCCCCTCATTCTATTAATTCCATTGAACATAAAGATCAGTGGACACTAATATTATTAGTATTATACTATTTGTAGAATTAGATTCCAGTGGCAGCAGCGGAGAATTGTTTTCAGACTCCTGGGATCCAACAGTTGATATTTGTTGGCGTTACAAAACTTTCACTTTGGTCAAAGAGCTGTTTTGCTCATCGGCTCACCGGACACAAATGGAGGAACCCACTAGCGAGAAAAGAAGTTAAAGAAAGATGATATAATATAAAAGAAAGACAAACACAGTTAATCCGATGGATCACACATTCAAATTGAGGATCATGTTTGAGGACTTTTTTTTAGGATGACAACAGACATTCAAAGCCTTATTTGAAAACCTCAATAGAAGCTTTGAATGTAAAAAATGACATTGGGTACAGCCCTAATTACACCAAACACTTATAGACACACAAGCCTAACACACACACAAATCATTACCTCTTTGTCGTTCCAGTCAGGGTAAAATCGGATGTGTTTCTTCTCCTCCATTATCCAGTTCTTTACCTTAATCATGATATCCTGCAGCAAGAAGCAGCAGATTAACTTAAGTCTGCAGACTGAGTGCAGGGTTATCATCTCCTTTATCCCCCAATTGCGACGCATCGTGACACAGGGCAACATATGCATCGCACAAACATATATACATACTTACATATTCGGGCTTGAGTTTTTTGTCACCTCCTCTGACGGCCATTTTCTCCAGTTTGTCCAGGATCGGAGGAATATTTTCCTCGTCCTTTAGTCGCAGCTCTTCGTGGATGATCTCAATGTCCCTCACCGGGTCAACGTTACCCTCCACGTGGATAATATCCTCATCGTCGAACGCACCTAAAAAAAAACACAAGCAACGACAGGTGAAGTCCAAAACCCTGAGCAGTTCAGTTGGTATGTATGACCATGCAAATATTTCCTAAAGCTATTTTGTTGATCCCTAACACTTTTAAATCAGAGTGTGCACCCAGGTAAAACCTAAATTCTACAAATGCTATAATGTATAAACTTCATATTGGTCTGAAAAATCTATTTTGCATCATCTCTGACTCTGATTTTACATGACAGGCCAATCACAAATAGTAAAAGCTTCCACTTGGACTGGATGTTGTTTAAATGTTCTGAACTGAAACCAAAACAATATTTATTTTATACATTACTTCGAGAAAAGTAAAACATGTGTCTCTACTGACCCATTCATTCCATTTCATCAGTCCTCAAATGTTAAAAGTTGTCTCAATAAAAGCAGCCATAAAAAGCCCATTACTTCAATAAAATGGTCTGAAATTGTGTTATAATCAGGAACTATCAGATCTGACAATAAAAAAGGCAAATTACGAGTTCGACCAAAAGTTAGAAAACTTGGTATAGAACAGAATATATCATCCTGTCTGGTCCACAGGCATAACAAATTATCTTCAACTAACACCTGTCCCCTCTCCTCAGTTGTTACTAGACAGAAGCTGCAGGCAGTAGTATTAACAACTCACGAGTCATGTGGAAGATGCCGTCACAGGCACTGATGTGGGAGAGAAAGGCGTTTCCAAGTCCCTGTCCTGCGTGAGCTCCCTTCACCAGACCAGCAATGTCCACGACGTTCAGAAAAGCTGGAACCTTACTAAAGAAACAAAAGCAGCCAGACAAGGAGGGATTGTTGATGAGACAGAAATCCATGGACAAAAACAACAACAACCAATCAGCTGTAAGGACATAACACACACCTGGCTGGTTTGTGGTATTGGCAGAGAAAATCAAAGCGCTCATCGGGCACCGGTACCCGGCTCTCATTTGGGTCGATTGTGCAGAATGGGAAGTTCTCTGCAGCAGCTTGGCTTTTAGTCAGCACGTTGAAAAAGGTGGATTTCCTGCGTAGACAGAGAGTCAGGAGAGTGTCAACAGCAGTGCAATAATCAACCCTAAATGATGAATCTGTTCATTCACTCACATAACAAACTGCTTAGCTTACATCCATTACTTATTTCATGTACATACCCAACATTAGGTAATCCCACAATTCCAATCTTCAGTGAGGTTCCAAATCGTCCAATCAATGTAGGCTCTTTGGGGGCTTCTGCCTTTTTTGGTGGCATCTGCGAGAGTGACAAGTTACACCGTTACCCCATGTCAAAACATTTCACTAAAGCCAGGTTTATTTGTAACGTAACAACATCTCGCTACGGCTAAAAGTTACGTATGGACATGTATCACCAAGTAGCTCATTCCTGTTCAACTAGCTCCACTTAAGGCGTGTTGAGGCGGCTCCAGTCACAGACTGGCTCCAGTCATATGCTCATTCAAAAACAGCATGCTACCGTAAGCTAGTGGTTACCTGAGACCACTCCTAGCTACTTGTTAGCTAGAATATTTGACTAAACAAACACTACCGTCTGTATTTCCCAGTATTTACAAATAACACTAAAAGTTAATTAGCTGAAAAACTACCCTTTTAGTACCTTAATGTCTATTTTTAGCCACTGGTCAACGTGGTATTCACTCTTCTGATATCTGCACACACCAGCCGCTTGGGTGGAAAGGCAAGTGCTGGAGCAAACCGGAAGTGTTTAACCGGAAGTGATCTGTGATTGGTCGGAGAGAAGTTCGCTGACAGACTACATGAAGTTACGTTGGACAGACCTGTTTATTAATTTAATTGTTTTAATTTTTCAATTTAATCTTAATTTATTATACTATATTGATCCCGGAAGGGGAAATTTGTCTCTGCATTTGACCCATCCCTGTATATAGGGAGCAGTGGGCTGCCAATGACAGGAGCCCGGGGAGCAAACAGGCGCCCTGTTTCTTTTAACCTTAAAGATATTTTATATATCTTATATTTTACTATGCAAATCCAGATGACAGAGCCCTAAATTTCATTATTTTATGTCACATTTGTTATTAATAAACAGACATGTTGGAGTTAACTCCCATGTTTTATAATTTTCTCTTCAAATGTAACAACAAAAAGTTAACACCTATTAGAAAACTTTTTTTGTAAGGTAATTGTCCTTTAATCTTTATTTTGTGTGTGTATGTGCATCATTCTAACTGTTCTGTATGTGCTGCAAATATTTTAATTCTTTGTATATCTTGTCAATAATTTTATTTTTTTGTTATTTTATATTAAATATTTAACTTAAAAAAAAAAGCATATTACACATGTAAAATCTTACCGTTCATAAGCACATTTGGGAATCGTCGGGTTTATATCTTTTCAGTTTACTTTACTGCCGGTCTTTCCGTGGTGACGGAGATGTTAAAGGACATGCACACAGACATAACAGCATAATAACATACCAATACATAGGCTCATGTTCAGACAAACAAACATTTCAGAACGGAAGTATATTATGATATTGGAAACGGTCTATGACAAAATATTGTTCCATGAAGCTGTGCTGGGGCTTTTCATCGTATCACACATCTTTTTCTATCGAGTGTAGTGTAAACAATCTTTCAGATAATTGCCTCACATTATATTTTATATTCGAGTCTGTCGCTAAAAACTAAAACTCAAACTGTCTCACTGCAGCCAAAACAGAAAGCAAATGTCCTCTGGGACGTTGACAGAGCATTAAAGACAGTACATGGGCAGCTTGAAGATAGTCACTGAACAATCTGATTTATGCAGTATTTGTATTACCAAAATGATTTATGTATCCAGGATAGCCTGAATGTACATTTCATAAAATACCCAATTCTGTAGAAAACTCAAATTGTGACAAAACGGCTTTATTATGGAAGATCACTCAAATCAGGGTGCATACGTAATGTCTAAGCAGAATATTTTTTATTTGTCAAGAAAAAACACACCAAATAAACTGTTTGATGGGACTTCATGGTACAATACCTGCATCAAAAACCACGGAGCAATGCGGCCATCACAGTATACTACAAACTGTCACTAGACAACAGAACTGACCAAAGTATCATTTTGTGTATGTACAACACCCCAAAAAAAGAACTTTCCTCCGGAAAAACACAAAAATAAATAGAAGAGTTGGTATTTAAAACATTAAATACGTGCAAACTGGGATCTTGACAGCTACGTACAAACAGCAAAGTTAGAAACTATAATATAACTGCCAAAGAAAATCCTGCTTGAATAAAAACAAGTCTGAGCTGAGCATAAACAACCCAGCCCTTTGTGTATTTAGCAACGCAAAACAAGTTTTCCTTTTCTGTTTCAGCTGTTAGGATACCCAAAAATAACATCACAGGTTGTTTTTGGTGCAGATCTGAAGCGTTGCTCATTTTCACTTGAACCTATTATCTGAAATTTTAGGTTTTTCACGAGTTTGCCTACAAATTTGGTTATGATAAATTCACCACTGACATTTTTTTAGACCTTCAATACATAAACAAATCCAGAATTCATATAACATACATTATCTGAAAACAAAGCAAACAAAACATAAAAAGTCAAGAAAAAGAAAGCATCTGAACAATAACACTGAAACTGTAGCCTTCTTCTCCAACTGCTCAGTAGTGACCTGTGAAAAAAAGACAGGGGAAGAGATTAAGTGCCAGACTCAGAAGGTTACATAAATATCTTAATTTCATATATACTATAAATATGTCAATATAGCCCAGCGGTGTAATGATAGAAAAATGGTTTAAGCATACGTGGCGAGTAGGACCGGGACCGGGATCGTGAGCGGTACCCCCTGCTGTAGTAAGGAGACGGAGATCTGCGTCTGTAGAGGGGAAACAAAACCGCAGCACTTTCCTTTAGACTGTTAACCATTAATCAGAGACTAATATGACAAACAGGCTACGGGGGGAACAACTTACCTGTATGATTTGTACTCTCTGTCTTCATAGCGATCATAGTCACGATCATAACTCCGGTCATAACCTCTGTCGTAGCCCCGGTCACAGTCCTTCGAGGGCCGTCGTGATGAACCACCACTACTGCTACCACCACTGCCGCTACCGCTGCCGCCGCCACCACCACCTCCACCACCACCGCCGCCGCCGCCGCTGTAAAACACACAGAATAAACGTCAGTGACACCTTGTAAGATACCACACACACACGCACAGTAGCTTCTAGAAAATGTCCCCAAAGAAAAGATGCGTGGGTTAAGAAACACTCACTATGTGGGACGTCCCATGTAGATTCCAGGAGTGGGTGTATGGGCTCGTTTTGTGATGGAGAAATCCACTCGGATCCTGCGCCCATCAAGTTCCATCCCATTAGCACGCTCCTTGGCCTAAAACCCACAACAACAGTTAGGAGACTTTTTTCCCCGAATAAGATAAATAGTTGTCATGTTTAACCGTTGCCCTGAATGCAATGCATTGCACAGACTTCAGTCAAATCCCCTTTTTATACAGATACATGTGTAAGACATGGTCTATTGAATGCATAGAGTCAACATTATAAAAATGATCTCAGTGATATCTCTGTTTTATCCTCCTCACCTCCTTGGAGTCCTGACAGTTTTCAAAGTAGACAAAGGCAAAGCCTCTTGAGCGACGCGACTGCTGGTCATAAACAATGTTGACGGCACTCAAAGGGCCGTATTTAGAGAAAACCTCCCTCAGATCTCTCTCCGTGGTGTAGAGACTCAGTCCAAACACACCCAGACAGTTGTGTGGGTCTGGGTTAGCCTGTTAAAGAGAGGAGTGTAAAAATATTGCGGGCAAATGACCCGTCACATCACTGCAAAGAATCCTGCTTTTCTGAAGCAAATCAGCAACCTGGGTGTCTGACCAGAGAGAATATATATACCCTGTTTCCAATGTGTCTGCGACGATTTGACATGGGGGAGCGGCTATGGCTCCTATGCCGGCGGTACTCCCAGCTACGAGAACGGCTCCTGGACCGGTGTCGGTGGGAGCGGGAACGGGACCGAGAATAATGCTTGCGTGAGCTTCGATGGGAACGGGACCTGTGGACGGACATTAACTTAACTACGAGTATGTAATGTACTTGTGTCACATGTACAAAAGCTTTATAAAATGTAGATTAAGAGTCCACATACCCCACACTAACTTTGAAAACACCTCCTTCATACGCACGTGAAAACCATCTCACCTGGATTTGGATCTGGATCGAGATCGGGATCTCGACCTGGAGCGGCGGGAGCCTTCTTTAGAGCGTGCTGGTGAGTGGCTGGTGGATTTTGCTGAGCCCCGAGGGGACGCACTCCTAGAGCCAGGCTGTGAGTCCTGGGCAGACAAGACACCAAAATAAGAAACCAAATAAATAAAAGGGCCAGGAGGTGACAGCGTTGACCTCTACATCTTCAGAGAGAGTTCATGACATTTCATCACAGGTTTGACACTACACTTTTTTTTAGGAATGTGTTTATAAAGAGGTCATAAAAAGCAATACATAATTAAATAATATATTACGTAATTTAGCTGAAGACAAGATTGCACAAAAAGTAAAACCTAGAAGGTTTGGAGGGATTGACCAGTGACGTTTCTGATAAGAGAGAAAACAAAATGCTCATGCTTAAGAGAAAGAAACAGGATGAAAAAGAGTAGCATAGGAAATCCTGTTAGGAAAATTAATCATACCCTGGTATACTTCTGATCTTAACTTCATAACTTCTTTAACTTCATAACAACCCTTCATTTCTTCTTTCTTCAGTTTGACATAATGACTTCTTTTTCCTCCTCTTCCCCCATTTACCATCTGCCATTACAACACTAGTAGTGGGGACAGATCTTGATTGCTTCTTTTCAGCATCCAATACATTAGCATGCATCAACACCATCAGCGCCAAATAATAACAACTTCACATCTGACACGTCTTCCGCCTTTTTCTTTCTTCCAACCTCAACCTTAACAAAGAACAAACAAGGGTGATAAGGCAAGTTGGTTTCTGTAAGAGCCAAAAGGTACACAAATAAATAAAAAAAACAGGAAAAACAACATACATTAGCTTAGCTGAATAACGTTACACGTCTAGGTTAGCTTGACTGGACCTAAATGACTTTGTACGGATACAAATATTAACATTACAGCCATTAAATATTGACTTGTAGTCATTATTTAATGTTTACCGGCAGTCAATATGTCTATAGTTAAGGTTACGTAACAAGTCAGTAAGTTTAAAGTAGCAAAGCAAGCGCACGGGTGGCTAACGCTAACGTTACATCTCAGCTAACGTTACATCTCTGCTATGCTTTGTAGGCCGTAGGCTTCAACGTTATATCTTTTTTGACATTTACTAAACACTAACTACTGTTCTAGTTAACGTTACTCAAATAAACGCTATATAGACACATTTCACTCAGGTTTGAGGCCTGTTATCAAAACGTATTTACTGCCATTAACTGACCTGCAGACGCAGCTAACATCTAAGCTAGCTAGCTGTTAGCACAACTTCTAATCACAACTCACCTGCTCCCTGAACTCTTTCTCGGTGTCGCTCATGTTATTATTACTAGACGGCAGATGAGCAAAAAGCACGTGGTAAACAAGAGTTATTCAACTGTATCGCCCGCAAAAATTTAGCGCGCAGCAAACGTTGGCTCTGCACGAGCTAGCCTTAAGTAGACTAATGACGTAACGTCAGCGAAGCAGTCGGTTTCCTGCTCTGGTTTTTCACAATAAAAGCTGCATATTTCGCTCTAACATTTATTTGATCGAAAAGCATGTTATATAAAGGCCGAATAAATAAGTATTAACTAAGTTTAATAATATATTTGTTGAGCAAAAAAAAAATGCCATTTTGGGACGTTTCATATCTACACTGTAAGAAACGCTGGGTCACATTACACGGAAGTCATTGAAGGAAAAATCGAGAATTTTCCATAAAAATTATGACAAATCGGCTTGATGAACTCGCTCTCGCGAGGTGTATGCAGATCTCACATAATACAGTTATGCAACATACAAATACACACTGGGGTATTGTATAAAATACAAAGGAGAACCTTTTACTGCAGGTTTATTGCCCCATAATGATTCTCAGAAGTTGTACAAATTGCATGCTCGCTCTCTGTAATGTAATATTTAGAGTAAATGTGACAATTTATTGTAATGTAGACTTTAGCAGACACCATCCTGCTCCAGTTGAAGCCTTTAGTAGCACTGCAGGAGTCATTTAATATATCAAAACGAAATACTTTATTACAGGGAGAAGAAAAAAAAGAAAAGTCACATTTTTAAAGCATGAACTCAAACATGCATGTGTGTACAGTAGAGTGCTATGCAGTATACTATACTGTAAGCAGATGTAATAGCCCTAAGTAGCCTCTTGCAATATGCTCATGGAAAAGATTCACAGAAGTAACAGCGCCTTAAGTTACATGTGGGGAAACAACTATTAATGCTCCACTCACATGGATAAAAACAAACAAACACATTCCAAAACACTTTCTTATCCAGTCAAGTCATAAATAATAGCAAAACAATCATACTACAAGCATTCAACAATGCATATTTTGTCTCAAAAGGGGACCGGAAAGGAGGTATTTTGATTTTCATCGTCTATTTTACAGAGAGATTGACTTTCATGATTAAATAACATAATAGTTAGTTGCTGTCCACTCTGTTGATCATAATTGGAAAAGAACATATCACTGCAACAATCCAATTTAACAAATTCTAAATCAGGCTTTGGAGTTGTATGTGACCAAGCAATTTCCAAAAATATGCAAAAGCATTGCTCTAAGTTGAGTTCAGTGTTAAAGGGCTGAAGGCACTTCCGGCAGAACTTCAAACAGAAAAACCCAACAATCCAAAGTCAATAAAAAAAGCCATTCAGTCAGTAGTGCTAACGTGTTGTGTAATACCGACACTTCTTCCATCCCGATAATGTCTCCAATTACAACTCAGAGATTACAAAGTGTCAATACGTCCCCGACATAACTACCTCTTAAGACTAGCGTTATCATTTCTCCAGACAAGAACAGCTACACTGGGTTAGATTTCTGTCAGTTGAGTCCACTTCTTTGGCCCATTCATTTATTTTTCTTCACCATGTAGTCACTGTACACAGATGTTGCTCCCGTTTAGAGAGTCACTGTTGTTAGGCGGTTCATTGAGATTGTTGTGATCCTCTATTGCAGTTTCTGATTGAGGATTTCCCAAATCATCAATTTCCTGAAGAGAGGCATGTGGCACTGTAGACAAAGAGAACAATGTTACTCTGTGTTTATTTAAGTGTCACTATATTAGGTGAATATAAAGTGTTCACCTGTTTAAAGGTGAGAGGCCTTCCTTTTGCGATATAGTCAGCATATTTACAGACAAAAACGCCACAGTCACTGCCATTCTTCTGCTGGGGAATCTCCTATAGAGGCATGAGCAGTGTACAAAGCATTCATCTCACAGTACAAATATTCTATTTAGTGATAAGTCATTCATCTCAGTTTTACTTACAGTGGGCCTCAAGCTTCCAACGGTCCATTTGGGGCTGTCCAGCTCTCTACCTTTCTTTGCTTTGTGCTCCTCTCTAAGGTAGAGTCTGGAAAAGGAGAATATTGATGATTCATTATGCAAGAATATAGGGCGACCTATGGAAAAGGTATTTAAAAAAGGCCCGATAATGAAAGCTTAAGAACACAATGAGGACTCACAGTAAAAGACTACAGACGTCCTCGTGCCTCTGTCCCATCGAGTCATATGACCTCACCGTCTTTGACTTAAAATCAATTACCTGGAAAGAGAGAACATTTTTTTAAATATGACGCATAATCAACCTTCCTTGGAAAGGAAATACTTATAATTAAAGTGACAAAGTCATTAATTGATTATCAAAACACAAGTTTCCCCCAATTCTTGGATGAAAACTGCTAAAGCAATTAAGGCACTGTGAAGACTCGCCGACTGAAAAAGGAGGATTGTGACATGGCAACAAACATGTATAGTGGTTGTGGTTCTGACTCACAGCCATTGCCCAGTGGACGCCAAGGTGCAGAGGGACCAGGATGAGGTCGTAGAGGAAAAGGTCGACAGCCTTGGTCCAGCGCTTCACAGCCGTGTGTCCTCCGGCCTGCCCGCCTCCTCCACCTCGCAGCTTTGGGAAGAAGAAGGTGCTGAACGAGTAGATTTTCAATCCTGCTGCTGCCGCTTCACCGGAGCCTCGCTCCACGACCAGGGACAGGTAGAAGTTAATCACCTTGGTAAATGAAACAGATGAGGCACAATATAATACATCTTTTACACATAATACATGATTTATTATATCTTACTTTTCACTGAGAAAATGGGACTGCTTCTTTATTAATTTCAGCACATGGATGATGCAGTATGTTGCCAGTCGGCATTACACTACGGGTGAGCCCAAATAAGATTAACGCCAGGATCTCACTGAACGCAGGACTGCTCCAAAGCGCAGAGCTATGTCGAGGTCCTTTCTAATAAATATCGAAGATAGATTTTTGAAATTTGATAATGTGAGAGGGGAACCGGGGGAATTGAAACTCTAAGACAGCAGCGGGGAGGAGAGTCAAAGCGTGCATGGGATGCATATGTTATTTATCAGAATGAGATCATGTATAATCACTTATAATATATATATCTTTTATAGCAGATCATCAATGTGTTTTCTTGCCAGCTTTACTCGCAGCACATGGAGGAAATAGACCAGACGCATTAAACTATCACTGAAGATTGTAGGCCGGCCGAGGACCTTCGCTGCTCTGTGTGTGAACAGCCCAATTGGTTGACTCGGACACTGAGCAAGCGATTATCCTACGTGAGAGCTTCCTTGTCCAGTTCAAACGGCCGCACTGACTCCTAGCACCTACCTCATCGTTGAGCCAGCCGCCTTCCTGCAGAGTGGCCAGGTCTCTTTGTGTGATGCGTAGTTTGAAAGCTGCACTGAGAACAAGGTTGGGATCGCTCTGAGCCAGAGCACTACTCACCTCCGCTGCCATTTCCTACACACAAAGACAACGAACACATTCAAGAAAAGAAATTGTCAGCACAGGTTCTTCAACACGGTGACTGACTACACCACCTCACTCCCCGCCATCTCACCTTGGTCAGCCTGGGTATGTCCTCATCACTGTGCCTTGTATGTGCAGAATGTGTGTCTGGGAGACTGACAGCAGGAGTCTCTCGGTCCACTAGATTGAGGCGAGTTGCTACTTCTGTGGAAAGGTCCAAATCTTCTGCCTGTTTCTGCTGCACTCACGGGTCGACATAAACAGACAGAAGTAACAAACTTCTGTTTCCACCAATAATCATAACTCAAACGGTGCTTTGAAGTGTCATGAACGAGCTAGATAAATGACTACCTTAGCACATCTAACAGGCTGTGTGTCCTCAAGGAATCCACTGAAAGTCTTACTAAACGTCAAGCTACCCCACCTGGAAATGAATCATTTAGAACAATAAGCAGATTTAATCAACATACTGTATATACACACACACACACACGCGTTACTACACTAACCTGTCCTTGGGTGCAGATGCATTTCTCCATGTAAACACGCTTGGGGAAGCTGTTCAAAGGGACAAGTAGGATATAATTATAACTTAATTCTACAACTACTACTCAGAAATATAAACATCACATAAAACCACCCATCACAAACAAATACATTTACAGATGCAGATGATTCTTACCCGTGTATCCCGTCTTCCTGGACACTGATTCAAAGGCTTTTCCTGAAGCAGCAGTTTTGTAATCAACCTGTGAAAGTGACTCACTGGGAGGAAAAGGAGAAAGGAGCTATATGAGAGTTCCTCACATCCTACGGTGAGCTGTTAAATGGACCTTCATGACATATCTAAATACTCCACATGAATAATGGGGTTGTACTCACTCTTGCGGTTTTGTTTGGTTGAAGGGTAGTGGTTGGCTTTTGCTGTACTTCTCCGAGACCATCTCCAGCAGGCGCCTGTAGTGCTCTTTATTGTTCTGCTTTATGGCCTGAAGGGAGAACCCAAATACATGATCACCGACAAACTCAAGTGGTACAGAAAGCATGATTAGTGGTGAATATACCATAAACTACATAAGCATGTAGTTAACTGGTAACTGTACTCAAAAAAGGGTGAATCTATTCTACGGGACTTCTTGTCTGTTTCAGCAACCCATTATAATCGAACTAAAGATAAATCAGACTATATTAGCTTGTTGCTGATATATTGTATCGGTGTATAAGTTGGCCAATAATTAACAAGGAATTGCAGTAAAGAAATGCCAACCTGGGTTTGAGGTAATTTAATTTAATCTAATTGTTTCCCCTCCCAAAAACAAATCTAAAGGATCGATCCATATCAAGATTATTATGCATTTATGTTAAATAATATAGATTTTTCAGTGCCAGCCTCAAAAAATGTAGCATCAGTCGTGATTTTAAAGACTTCTAAACAAATACATAAATTGTACAAACGATGCCAGTTTGTAAAGTATCCATATGTAAACCCAACAGATAAAAACCTAAGGACTGTTTTACCTCTTCCACAGTTAGACTGGGCTTGAAGCAGCGGTGGTGCCCAAAGCCATTGCAGCTCAGATCGGGGTTAGTGGTTCCCACCCTCAGAGCAGGTCTGGAGGGAAGCAGCTGCAGGGAGCCTCTCCTCTCCCTGTCGGGGAGCCCCGCAGACAGCCCTGCTCCGCTGGATTCAAAAAGGTTATGTACATTAGCAAAGAAGCATTTTTTTAAAAGGTTATACTGATGGTTATACAGCCCTGTAGGCATCATCACAGCATATTGGATGAGTGAAGGGAACTGGACCGTGACTTGCCTGTATTTCCTCATTAAAGGAGGCGAGGAGCTCTGAAAGGGATTCTTCCCGCTCCTGTCATTCACTCCGGCTACTGGTTTACCTGAGGACAAATCACAACGGGGATAAAGGGATGAGAGGACCACTCAGCAAAGAGTGCGGATGAAACAAAGAGACATAAATCACAGCCGTCCTCACTTACTCATTCTCCACTCAGTACTGTTCAGCCACGAGGTGTGGAGCTCATCGATTCCCATCAGAGTAACAGGCTGCATCCCAACAGGAAACGCAGAGCAATTAAAAAGATAGACGATACAAATCACACACGTAACAGTAAATCAAACTTAAATTGTGCTTACTCCCTGTTACTGATATACGTGTCCAAACTCTACAGGATACAAAACAGTTTTAAGCACGCTACAAATGTGAGTTAGCTGGACAGTTATGTTCATGCTGTACTACATACTAAATACAGCAACACCTCTATCCAGAAGTGTTCAATTGTGGTCACCCAGGAAGCATTTAAGTACAGAGTGTGAGCACTACGATTGATATTTACAAGACAAGATGTGAACTGAACATTTCTAGCAGCCGTGCATCGTGGATGTATACAGAGAACCGGATACAGTGTTGGACGGCTACCGTCGATTCTTATTAAAATTGTTCAGTGGCGCATGAAGCCAAAACGGCTCAAAAAGCACTAGCAGTAGTTCATTCTCTAGGGCTCATTCACATGAATGGCAGCACGAAAAATAACTCTGGATTTGGCTATTGGACACAAATGCACATGTGCGACGAGGGAGTTGGAGCACAAACCTGCGTGTCTTCATAATGTCCGGGCTTCTCACACTTGGTCGTCAGTGGGTTCTTCAGCCTGAGCAGGTTTGCTACTCCGGCCACCGTCTTCTTCACAAAGCTGATGACTACATCTGACACACACACACACACACACACACACACACACACACACACAGAGGACGCCCCAAATCAACAACAGTCTTCCTTCTGTGCCAGACTTCATTAATATGAGGATAATCTGTTTCTTGAAACAAACCTCGCCGCCGTCTTTTCGCCTCTACCTGGTCACTCTGGCAAACACCGTCTGCAACATCAACACTGCAACAAGAAGAACTCAGTTTGAGATGAGGGATACTGACAATATCACAATATTACGGTAACGTGACAACAACGTGATGACAGATTTGGGTTCGCTTTAATTTGCGCCTATCTTATATTTTGAATATTAAGCATCTACTTCGTTAGGTACACCTGTCTACAACTAATGATTGTCTTTATTGAGTAACCAGCAACGTTTATCTGGGACGTCTTCAAACATCTTGTCTTGTCCAAAACCCAAAGATATTCAGTTTCAGTGTTAAAGAACAGAGAAAAGCAGCTAAACCTCACTTTTGAGAGGTTCAAAACGGAGAATGTTTAATCTTCATGATTAGGCAATATTCAAAACAGTTGCCAATTCTGTCAATGTGAAATGTATCTAAACGTATTGTTATACCTCTCTGATATATATTGGGGCCACAATATAATACAATTCAACTGTACCATGAACAGCCTCCAAAACACCCTGTGTTGGCCGATATCAACACCATGAACTGCAGCCTCGTAAATGACCATGAAGGCCATAATATATTGCAGGTCTGTTGTATTTGACTGCATTCGCATCATTTAAATGTGACTGCATTAGCATCATTTAAATGTGACTGCATTAGCATCACCTAACGTTAGGTGCTGGAGTGTAGCTAGGGTGACATGGCATGTCATTTGGGTGGCTCTCTGTGCCTTTAAGAAGTTAAAGCAAGCTAATATTAAATATATTCTTTAGGTGTTTCAATATGGACGTTTCATATAAATTAACTGAATGTCACATCACTATTTTATGTTACTGGTTATTGTTTGGTTAAATCTTTGCACTACTGTTTAGTTAATTTAATATTATTCTATTTCATTGTATATATTGTGCATTTTATATCCAATACTTTACTGTTATTCTTATTGTATATATTGTGCATTTGATGTTTTTTTACTCTGTAATTTTATTTAGCTGTACCATAATTGCTGCTGTAGCTAAACATTGATTAATAAAGTAGCTAACTATATATCTATTCACACGGTTAACAAGAGCTAGCTTGTCTTAAATGACTTAACGTTATAGTCAATAACCTCCTCATTGTGACTGGATACATAATTTGACATAACGTTAATCGAATCCGTAAATAAATAAACAGTCTCTGATCTTCAACCACCGACCTCTGGTAGTTCCGTTTCGCTGGTCTGCTGTGGCTCTCCTGCGCTCGCGCTTCCACGCCAGGTCGCGTAGGTACCTCCTCGCTCACGTTACCTTTCCCCGTAACGGGCTCAAACAGCGACGAGATTCCGTCCACTATCCATCCATACATCCCAGACAAATACGAGAGAAGTGTATCGCGGTCCAGGACTAATTTCACCACAGATAAAGACGTCAAACACCGACCTACGACACACCGGCCGCCGTTTGGCTCGTTAGCTTTAGCCGTTAGCAGCACTGTGCTGATATTCGAAGGATGTGCGTCATCATGTGTCGATGTCTCACGTGGTGCGAACGTTTTACGCGCCTACAGGAAAACAGAGTGGGCGGAGTTATAAAGTATAATCGGAATGGAAGACAATAAATGGAGGAACACCACACAGCGGCTTCTGCTGACTTCATAAACAAACGAACCCCCTGATCGAGAGTTTAAAGAGCGTCAGCGTCAGGTCAAACTACCTGGCTGCTGCTGAGCTTCTCATATGTTGATGTGTTATATAATATCTCCGTAATGCTCAAGAAAACAAACTAATAAATGGGGAGGGTATTGTTGATTACATTTTAATTACAAACAAGAGTAATCAGTTTAAAAATAAAAAATAAAAAAATAAAATCAAAGCAAGCCCGTTTCAGGAAAATAAAATATGAAGATATTAAACACTCATTGATAAATCTAAATGAGGAGTAAAAATTATGTATTTTTACTAAATAACTTAAAGCAGCTTAGTAATTTGATTCAAATACAAACCTGATTAATTTGACTGTATAGGTTTGGAGTAAGATTTAAATGTAATTTATTCTCATTATCTAGTCAAGATCATTTTCTGTGTTTTGGTTCATCTTGTATTAAAAAATAAATAAAATCAAAAAGTCGAATGAAATCTTTAGTAAAGATGTAAAAATGAGACACCAAAAGTATGGTTTACATTTTCCATTACCGGTCATTTCCAAGTGCCAAAAATGGCAACTCTTTACAATTATCTCATTATTTTTGGAATGAAAATGACTTACCATCTCATAAATGTGACTTCCCATGAGTATTTGTAGTTTTATCATCCCAACAATGAGCATGTACAGATTTTATCTTTATCTGTTACTGGATATAAACATTCTGTTCTGTTGCTGTTATTGTAACGTCAGAGTATTTGTATAAAAGTAGTATTTATGTTAGTTTATCCCATATTAAGGTTAACTAAATAAATAGCAATCAAACCTAATATGAAGAATTTTATACTTCAGGATATAATTCAATAATGAGGTGCCATAAAACAAACAAACAGTCTTTACACCTTCATTACACATTTAAAATATTTATCAACTTTATGGTAGCAACATGGAGAATACAAAAAACAAATATTGTTCAACTTTATGCAATAATGTGCTCACTATCTTTGTTAATCATGGATTTACAGAAAGAAAGAAAAATCAGTGCAAATTTGGACAAATGTAAAATGATCATCGGTTGTATTTACAAGCACAAAATATAAAGACAATAAAAAAATAACATTTAAAATAAAGAAATCATTTGTTCTTGCAACATCTCAAGCTGACCTTCAAACACTATTGTACAGAGAATAGAAAAATGACAATAGAAAATATTGAAAAATAATTTAATTATAAAAATCAATTCTTTAAAAAAATGTAATGCAATATTCCTTTCTACATATTTCAGTTTTCTACAGTTTTGGAACAATATGCAGACGTTCATTCATTCAATGGTCGGATAACTTCGGGTCGGGCTGGAAAGCAGATGAACCTAAAAGAACAAAACAAGGTGATTAGCATCCAGAGTTTAGACAAATAAAATCCACACAAACTATCGTAAAGTTAAAGACAAAACTACCGCTGATGGGAGCAACAATTTTCATGAAAAAACGCATTAGCCGTTACATCTTTTTAGGGTTAATATCTGCCTCTACTGCCAAAATCTTTAACACTTAAAGTTAATTTAAACATCAGTAAATATTGCTAATGGAGGTTAGCAGAACCCCCAAATACCGTCACCAGATTAAATATTCAGTTCTGTAAAACCAAACATGTGAAGAGAAGAGTCACACGTGACAGTCCGTCGTACTTCAGTGTAAATGTCCTGCAGGTTTTTGTTGTTGTGACAGCTGACGAGGCACATTTTGGAGCGTTGGAGGATTACGATGGGGTGTTTGAACGTCTCAGTCAAAGTATGAGTAATATTTAAATTTACAGGATCATCTTTTTAATGCCTTTTTTCCTACCGTTTCAGTTCATGCCTGTATGTATGAAACCAGATTTGCAGGTAATCCCTCACAGTGAATCAGCTACGGTAGAGCTTTTTAATAGAGCAAGCATTGCACGTTACTGCTGTTAAAAGGGAGCACTGGTTCGTTAAAACTTGGGCTGTGAACCAAATCGGTCCGGCATTCATTTCTCAGGGTTTCTGAAGGGTTCACCGAGTTAAATCAAATACCAAAAGACTTTTTGAATACCACATAGTATGCAATCTAATACCTGTTGCACAATCATAACGTCCAACGTATGTGAACATTATATTTATAACTAAATTTTAAACCATGTTAATTGACTGAATCATTCTGACATGCACTGAAACAAATAGCGGGCTGGATAAGTCTGCATAAAACATTTAAAAATGAGTTCTACATGTGCAATCTGAAGACTGGACTTTTAACATAAATATTTAACATATAAATATAGGGGGATCATAAACATGCAGGGCATGCATGCGTCAGACCAGAGTGCTACCACCGCTAGTGCCCCCAGTGAACGATGGAAAGCACCCGTTCTGAGAGGTGTATCAAGCTGCTTTGACATTTGGTGGAGTGTGTATTTTTACACTCGCACTCACCTGGACCATTCAGGTAAAGGGGCGACAAGCAGCTCAGGTACAGCCACGTCCTATTCTCATGCAGCCAGCGCTGCCGATAACCAATCATATCAGGGGAATAGGCTGACTGTATCCTCCTTTCATCTTTAGGGGGCGGGGCTAAATGAGTCTCGCTCACTAGGGTTGGGAGATGACAGAGCACACAGGTTTTGTGGGATTTAATAAATGTTTTTCGTAGTCTTGTAATGAACTCTGTCACCAGTAGTGTATTTTCTGTGTATATTTCGCTGATTAGGAGACATGCATCTTATGCTGGGATCAGACTACACAATATTTGTGTCTTAATGCTTGTGACCCAGGAGTGAAAGATATAGTTCCTCACTTTGCCATGTTTAGAGCCGTTTGTGCTCCTTTGGGGCAATGTCACAGAGCAAGTTGTAGGACTTGTTAGTGGCTCTGATATATTCTGGATCTTTTTTTATTCGTTTGAGCCCTCACCAGGCTGATGTGTGGTCTGATCTCGGCATAAGAGCTATAAAACATAAACCCAGTGCCCTGTAACATCTCCCAGTGTGATATCACTCGCTACAACTATAATTATGGGGCTCAGAACCCAAGAAGTTGTGCTTCATAATTTGGCTGTTTTTGGAGTGGGATCACCATCACCAGTATAGTGTCTAACCTAACTGTTCGCTGCTCGGGCCCAATCACTGATACATTGTAAACACAAACATGGACTCAGTGTTCACCCGACACCCTGTGTTTCCAGTCTGCACCAAAATGCCATCCACCTTTGTGCTGAAATCCACCCATTCCCCCTTCCTTATACTTAATGCTGTTCACCTTGTCTCGCTCCCACCAACCGTTGCTGGACTTTCTCTAGATGGTGGATGTATTCTGTCAGAGATCTCTCTGGATCCTCAGACGTTCCTCCTGAATGCTCTGAGCCCAGACTGGTGCTGGAGTAAACCCTGCGGAGAGAAGACAGCTCAATGATGAAAAATGACAGGAATTTCATTCAAATATTTGTGAAGACATCCACTTAACAATGGAGAGTTTAAGAAAGAGCACAAACCTGTTGTGCAACCTGAAGGGCGATTTTGTGGGTGGAACAAGGGCCGACACCGTGTCTCTGTGGACGGCACTGCTGTCTCTGTTTGGTGGAGAGTTGAACTTTAATCTTGGATGTTGTTGCCTTAAAACTTCAGCTTTAGGCCCTGTAAGAGACATTAAGATTAAAGATCCACCCACTCATACACACATAGCATCATTAAACGTGTTCACTGAGCTGACCTTGAGCATGCCCATTGACGGTCCCAGATACAGATAATCTTCTGATTGCTCTCTGCCATTTCCTGGTCAGGAACTTCATTCTGAAAATAAGGTGAGATTAGTGTTATCCATAGACGAGTCCAAGTTAAGTCCTGAATCTTTCCATCTTGGGAAGCTCCCTACCTCAAGACAGCGATGACGACTCGAACGGCAGCCCTAAATCGTCCGAGGGGTCTGTTGTGGGAGAGTGGGGGGGCTGGCCGGGCCCCCATGCGAGCGATGAGACACAGTGTGTCCCGCTCACACTGCTGGAAATCTCCCACCAGCAGCAGCAGGTAACGCTTCTGGTACACCAGAGCTTTCCTGAAGCTCTCGGCACGGAGGTAGCGCTCATACAAGCGCTGCATCTGAAAAACAATACAACACACAGGTTGTATGATATTGTATATCAGCGTTACAGTCGGGTGTTCAAGTTGACATTTGATTTTTACAGTTAAGCCAACATAGTCATTAAATAATTTGGATTCACCAAAGTTGGCCCCCTGCACCTTTTCATTACTACTCAAAACAAGAAATCTCTCGGGGGGGGGGGGGGGGG